TTTATTATGACAACATTTCGGTTTATATATTAGACCATCCTTCAAAGCGCCAAAATTGCATTTTATTTTTATAGAATATTAATAATTAATGCTACGAAATATATAATGCAATCGGTAGATTTTAACTTACATTGATTTTTACAAGTTTATTACATTGCATTACTATCCACTTATCCACTGGGATAGACAATGCAACTTGAAGTTGACATTCCGACAAAAGGGGGAACATCGCGTGTTCCGCAACCACAATCATCATCGCAAGCGTGAAGGTTCGTTCTGTCTTGCGATGCGAAGCGAAAAGCTACGACAATGAGAGAGTCATGAGATAGGTTCGAGAAAATTACCGTTTGCGTTTTACGAGCGGAATAATTTCTCTGGTATTACGCGTGGAAACGTGGTTCACCCACGCGTCCTTTAACCTTTGTCCTTCGCCATATTTTCTGTAGCTTTGTCGGTAGTTCCGTAGGGAATCGTAGGAATCCCAATATCAATTTTTGAAACATCGAATGGATTATTCAACGCACACTGAATTGACATTCGTAAAGAAACGAAACGCAACAGAGTAAGAATTTAATTTAAAAAATGACCCCTTGTGATACAATCTGACGATGCTCTTGTGTGCATGGAATGTCAAATAAATGAAGAGAATCTTTCTAGTATACTTGTTCATTAGAAAGGTAAAAGAGAACGAATAATATACGCTTTAAATCATTTCAAAGGCGCCTTCATGTGAATTAATCACTTGATACATTCTACCATTTTCAACCTTACAGTATTAAAGCTTTATAAAATATTAATTTGTTCTGACTCTTTCCTTCCATGACGAAATAGCTTTTTATAAGGAACAAAAAAGAGAGCGAGGCATGAGCATACACCTGCAATCTAACCTCGCGCACCAATCACATGCAGGACTCTTATTCTACCAATCGCAAGCAAAAGCGCATCAATGCTAACCTTGTTACTTCGACAATTTATACACCTCAACATATTTTTAACCGACTTCGAAAAGGAGGAGGGTACTCAATTCGACATGTATTTATTTTTTCCCTTAAATAGATTTGAAATGTTCTGACATTCTCCAAAAACATTCTTAAGACTTGCCTCCCCATTAGTTCGAACGATAGAGGTTCTCCAATAATCCATAAGATGAAGAACTGATACGTTTCATGTATCCAGTGGTAACATTTTCAATTATTTATCTCGAACCGCAAATTGTACAGGTTCACCAGTCACGATTCGATAGGTCTGTCCATCGGATCTGGGCCAACGAAACCAGACATCCATCCTCGAGAGTAAACGGTGTACTCGTGGTCGAGAAGATCGTTATACCACAAGTACAACTCTAACCCTTTCTATTTTCGTTGGAATCGCTTCTGGAATCGCCATAGCCCTAACCATTACGCCACTCGAGGGAAGAAAAAGAATGAATTATCGCTCGACATTGAGTGCAGGACCGAAAATTACGTAGCTTGGATCGATACGTAGAAGATAGGTCCCTCGTGTTCCCACTCGACGTTATCCAGCTTCCGTATTCTCTTTCGAGTGGCTTTCGATAAAAAGGGCTACCCTCTAACATGTATGAAAAATATGGATATCTTGAACCTCTATTTCTAGTACGTTTATTATTGAAATTTAACTATAGAAGCATTTCTTTCTAACAGTGCAAATCTGCTATCTATTGAATTCAAATCATCAAGTACCAATATCTTGTTATTAATATTTATTTGTAAATCACTTTTTATTTCTCTTTTGTTAAATTATTTTCAAACACAGCAAATAGAAAATAAACATTAATATGTAAAAAGAAATCATTCGGTACTTAATGGGTTGAACAACAGTTGTATTCTTCAATTTTAGGAATGCCATAGAAAATATTTACTTGAATTGTGGTAATTTTTTTATTTTCCATCTAATTATTTGCAGGATATAGCGTGTACAATTTATTTATTGGCATGAGTGTTTTGCATACATTAAACTTGCCCAGAGACTTTCTTTAAATAATTCTCTACACTCTACGAGTTCAAAACTTTAGCCAATCTAAATAAATCCAAATAGCTTAAGTTTGAATTAATTGAAATAAGCGTTACAAAAGTTTATTGCTCATAAATTTCATGTCATAGAAATGATTATTCAAGGAGGAGTTTGGTAAAAATTTGAAAACTATTAATTATAACATACACGCATTAATGTATACAAAGTTATTCTAACAACTAACATCGGTTGCAAACAAACAAAACAAACGTGCATTATTGTATGACGTTTAAGACTCTTGCGAAAATATTTATTCTTAATTTTAGCTAATACTTTCATGTAACAATATTTAAGATTGTCTGAAGACGCAAAGTACACGTATTCGCGAGCCAAAATACTAAATATTACATCTACTAATTTTTAGTTGAGATTATCTAAATTGGAGATAACGATTTAATGATCTGTACGCGGCCGCTAGAATCTTTCGAAGCGGAGCAGATTTAGTAATGAAAGTATAACGCGCTAAAAGGAAAGGGCGGGAAACAAGCGGAAGAACAGATAAGCATCATTTGCGTCGGTGCAGTTTAGATCGCCAGATTCCGTCTCCTGCGTGGTTTTCTTTCTACCTGGATCGCTGAACCGACGGAAACTGATTATCTCACAGAATCGTGTAGTAGAGGTCTGTAATCACGTTGTACAGAAGTTCAGATGTAATCTAGGAATGCTGAAATCGCATCGTGTGACTTTTTCCTCATTTTAATCGCTCTTGCAGTACAAATCTTATTATCTGTTCTGACATTTTCCAATTCTGGAGCCTACTGTAATTTTACTTTCGAAGATCATTGATTTCGTTCATAGTGGATTTTCTTCTTCGATTACGTTCCGAAGCCTAATTTATCAACTATTATACAGGGTGTCCCAAAAGTCGGGGAGGATCCGGAAATGTGGGGTAGTTGAGACGATTCTGAGCAACAATTTCCTTTGCAAAAATGTCGGATGGGGCTTCGTTGAAGAGATATTAAACGAAAACCCCGACCAATCAGAGCGCGCGTAGACCGTTGGAGCGGCCGCGGTAGCGTAGGCTTACGCGCTGGTGGCCGCGCTTGCACGCGAACAAGTGACTCGACGTGCATCGAAGCATCGACCTAGCGCGTAGCCTTCGCTACCGCGGCCGCTCCAACGGTCTACGCGCGCTCTGATTGGTCGGGGTTTTCTCTTAATATCTCTTCAACGAAGCCCCATCCGACATTTTTGCAAAGGAAATTGTTGTTCGGAATCGTCTCAGCTACCCCCCATTTCCGGCTCCTCCCCGACTTTTGGGACACCCTGTATTGTATAATATACTACAAAACAAAATGAATGTAAAATGTAAAAAAAGAAAGCGAATGGAAATTCAAGTACACTACGACAAATGTAACGAAACGTACTTGTACCAGATTACGTTGTTTTGCAATTTCAATTATTGTAATTATAAAAAATTGTATTATCCATCCTGACATTCCTCGCTTTTACGTGTATTGTAGTTTTGCTTTAAAAGATCATTGATTTTTTCATAGCTTCGATTGCCTTCCGAAGCTTCATTTATTAAGCTGTAACATGAGTTTATTATATAACATAAAATTAAGTGAAGATGAGATCATATTCCTAAATATATTTTATTATGTCTGGTAATATTTTCATCGATATTTTTTGTTGTATGACTTTATTCACAAATTAAAAAGGAATACATTTAGGGGAACATATGTTTTTATACATCATCCTTCAATTTTTATTATTATTATTGTAATATAAATATTATCCATCCGGATACTTCACAGTTTGACAATGTATTGTTGTTCTTCTTCAAAAGATCATTCATCTTTTCATAATTTGTTGTGTTCAACGGCTTTATTCGTAAATGATAGATACAAGTTTAAGTAAATGAGTAGGTGTATTTAAACGTATGCTTGTGTCAGACTGCGTTATTCTTCAATTTAACTATGAAACTGGAATTGTCAAGTCTACAAGTACGGTAACATTTATTGTAACTAAAAATTAAATGCAATCTATATTACAAGTAAGTTAACAAAGTGTCAATTTTTAGTAAAATAAAAATAAATTCATATCAATGGTATAAACAGAATTAATAACACAAACTAAATATATATTATAATGAATAAAATCACAGAGACTCCTTACATCCGCGGTTTTATTTACCGTGATACGTTTAGTTCACTTTTATATTTATAAAATTTGGAAAATAACTCAATACTCGTAGTCGAAACGTCATTGAATTATAATACGTCCTTCACCTATTTCTTTTCCATTCATTTATACGCCAACAGGCAACAACAAGCTTCCACTGTCGAATTTATTTTCATATCCTCTCTCGATTTTCTGTTTCAGGCTCACGTGGTGTCAGCTTTCGAGCAATCGCTGTCCAACATGACACAACGGCTCCAACAACTTACTGCAACAGCTGAGAAGAAAGTGAGTATTCCATTACCAACCTGATTTCCCAGCCTTCTTCAAATTACGATTGAAATCACGAGGCACCTCGCTTCGTCCCTGGTAGAAAAACAATATCAAATCTGATTCTATCGAATGAACTCGTATCTCGATGACAAGTTTCGCGATGACATAATTACGAAATCGCAATCAGCACGATGATAGTGCGAAAATTATCACAATAAAGATGTCCAACATTCGTCCACTGATTTTCGATTAAGAATGCCACATGTCGCACAGGCTGCAATCGCCGCAGAGATGAGTACGCGTTTCTCTGCGTATCTCCCACGTTTATAAGTCGTAACCTCTCAAACACGTAACCTTCCCTAAAATCTGAGACCTTGAAAATCTTTCATCTCCTACCATGCACGTAAACCAAACTCCAAACAAAGCTCCAGATCAACTGGCCCCGCAAAGGTTGCCTCGAAGTCGAAGGCTTGATCGACCAGTCGATCCAAAGGCCGTGCAACTATTAGCTGCCTTTCCTAACCACAACATTCAATTGGTGAACGGGACAGTGATGATCCCCATCCCTCAAGAAGACGCGAGAGCTCTCGGGCTACGAGTGCCAGGAATCCAGGAGTCGAGGAATTCCTCGCTCGGATCGAGTTCGACCTCTTCGAGGAACTCCGGTTGTCCATCGAGCTCCAAGGCTCTCGGCAAACGGTCGAACGACGGTAGGAAATCGAGCAAAGATCTCAAGCACCGGAGAAACGTGGACACGAATGCGACGAAGAAGCTTCAAGACCTCAAGGAAGAACGAAGGAATCAACGTACCGTAGAAAAGCTGAGCAACTTCCACGCGAAACTTGAAAGAGGACTGAAGAATATCTCCTACAAGACGAAAACTCGCCGAAAGGTCGGTTCAGAGACCACGAAGACGTGCGATCAGTCCAGATTGAACCCAACAGCGTTGAGCGGAGCTGCTCGCTCGTTAGCGGGTGGCAAGTCGAGGAATTCACCGCTCTGCCAGGAGGACAAGTTTCACAAGCTTGAGAAACAACCAAGCTCGAGGTCTATGAGACAATTGTTCAGCATGGCTGATTCGTGGAGCAGCGACTCCGTGACCAGTGGCTCGGATAACTGTGCTTGTTGCCATAGTCAAGAACCTTGTCCTCTTCACGGATTTGACTTTGTCGGTAGCCCATGAAAACTCTTCTTGTCGCTTCTTCTGTAGAAAGCAGTTCGAATGGTGTCGCTAGTGGGTAATTGGGAAGGAATCGAAAAATTACTTGAAGATATGATAAGGTAATTGTGATATTAAACGAAGGAGTAATGTGAAATTTGAATGAAGATTAAATGAAAGGGTGTCAACAAACCTGTTCTCTTCGTGTTACTCGTTTCTTCGATGAAACATAAAGCTTCATGGTGTTTCTTTTATAGAAGATAGTGCATATAATATTACTAAAGAGTAATTGAAGAGGAATTTGAGAAAAACTAGAAGAAATAGAAAGGCACGTTATTAAACGAGAAAGTTAAATTAAATTTTAATAGAGTGAAATGGAACACAGTCAAGAATCTCGTCCTGTTCGTTCAATTTTTCTCAAAGAAAACTCTGCAGACAGTATTGGATAATTCACGAAGAATCTCTTGTTATCACTGGCAGATAATGAAAAGGTAACAGTAATATTAAAGGAAGAAATAATGTGAAATTTGAATAAAGATTATATGAAACTGTGTCAACAAACCTGTTCTCTTCGTTTAACTCATTTCGTCAATGAAATACGAACATTCTTTTCGGTGTTTCTTTTATACAAGACAGTACAAACAATATTGCTAAGTAATTGGAAAGTTAGTAAAGTTGAAATCAAACACTGTAGATATCCCTATCCTCTTCGTATAACTGACTTTATTACCGAAAACATTGAAAATAATGCTACTAATTGGCAATTATTAAAAAAACTTTCTAAAATTGACTAGATAAAAGAAAAGGTAATATATTCAATAAACCATCGACAAATATGATACCCAAGCAAAGTCAAAATTAAACGTCAAATGAGTTTGGACATCCGAATACCGAAGGTATCCGTATTCGGAATCAGGGTGGAATCCCCATTTCCGAACTCAATGTTGAAGAGGTTAAACCAGATTGGAGACGCAAGCTACTCATGGTTAATTCAAAATTTACTGTAGCGAAACTGTGTGATACTCGGAGAGTTTGTGCTGATAGCATATGAACATACGTGAACAATAGAATTTTAATTGAATTAAACTAGGGAAACTGGGAATAGCCAGCATTGGGAATTCAACGAGATAGCATGAAGTTTAATGAGAAATTAAAGTATCAGAAAGTTTGAGGCCAGTAAGAGAGATCTTTGCTGATTTATTTGCTAATCGTTTAGAGGAGAAACGAAGGTGGTTGTTAGAAGAAAGTAGAAAAAAACGTGCATGGACGTTGGATACCTCACGAGGATGAACATATTTGATATAGTGTAAGGATCTATTAAGCTTTTGCTATGTCACTCGAGAAATAAATTATGATACCAGATTGGACTGTGTTTCAAAGTTTTGTCCTCGTAAAGTTAAACGATTGTCGGCTCGCAAGGAAAGGAAAGTTTCTTCTAGCGTTTGTTTCTCTAAGATTGTTTTTATGGCCCTCATAAATCTCGAGTCATCGAAATAAATCGCAGGCTGCGCGTTCGCTAACGATACACGCAATTATCCTCAATTTCGCTAACTCGTCTGAGCGCGCCGGGCTTCGCTGACCGACTAAGTGGCTCCCAGTCAAAATCAACTGCGTACCGATTTTCAAGTTACCATCTACAGAACAATAAAGTGAGTAGGAATTTAGCCACCGTAAACTATTACCAATTAATAATTGGCTTCTTCGAGTAGACGCGTGATCATCTCTTCGAGCAGGTTTAGGGAATCTCGTCCTGCAGGATCTATCCATCCATTAGAATTGTTTTGTTTGTTAAGGTTGCATCAATCCATAACGGTCGCAAGCAGTGAGCGCCGGTTAAGTTATTAGAAAAAGTTGCTCGGGAACATGTCCTTGACAACATATGTCAAGGTCAAGGTGATCGGAGATGCCTCCCCTAACGTAACCAATCCCGTTTAACCGAAATGATAATTAAAAATTCCTGGAATAATCAAGGTAACCAATCCAATGAGCAGTAACCACTAACACAACCTTACTTGACCCATACCAATTACTCCCCCCACTATCGACTCTATACAATGAACGAAGTTCTATTTTAATATTAACTACCAAAGACACTGTAACCCGCAAACGTTGTGACAAAATCACTAGTCCTAAGAAAACAATGGTAAATCCTTACTCGTACTTTCAGGATTCCGAGCTTCAGGAGTTGAGGGAGACGATTGAGAGACTGCGCAAGCAAAGCGCCGAGGCCGGCCTGAACAGCTCATCGGCGAACAATGGTCGTCGTCACACGCTAGGAGACTCCGATTCAGGAACAACAGGCTGCACAGGAAACAGTAACTACCATCAAGGTGCATCGATGGCTAGGCAGTTGTCCGCGGACAGCGTCACATCATTGAACTCCCTGAGCAGCGCCTGTTCGGCCAGCAGCCATCACAAGAAGAAGGGTTGGCTCCGCAGCTCCTTCTCGAAAGCTTTCTCGAGGTCGCGAAAGAACAGACACGGCTCTGTTTCCGACGCCGAGGATTGCAAGGAGAACACCGGTGGCGATCTTAGCGCGCCAAACAGCCCCAGGTTGCCTACCGCCTCGAAACACGATTCTGCCAGAACCCAAGGTGCCAGGAGCAACGGACAGAAATCACCAGAAGTCGAGAATCCGTTGTCTGGAAGCAAGAGCAGCTCTGCTCTGTACAAAAAGGAGGACGAGGACGTGGTGGAGCTAAAGAAGCAACTCAGGGAAAAGGACCTTGTACTAACAGACATCAGACTCGAGGCTCTGTCTTCGGCGCATCAGCTGGAGTCTCTCAAAGACACTGTTATCAAGATGAGGGTAAGTAAACGTGATTCTATTCTTTATACATTAGCGACTAGTCATTTCGATACAGCTCCACACCTGTAACTTTTCTGAAGAAAGACGAACGTAATGCTTGCCGTATATAAATAAGTCGAACTACTATTGATGTCTGTACTCATTTGTATCATACTAGCATTTAGTTGGAATATGCTCGATATTCGTAACTTAACAAATAATGAGGTTTACAACGGAACAGTATAATCCTCACAACGCGAGTCCACAATATCCCTTGTGGGATCATCTTCACAGACGCGCTTGAGAAAGGAAGAATTATGAATAAAATTCATATGTAGAATGTTTTGGAAGAGAAACGAAAGGCAGAGCTGAAGCTTTTAAAAAATCGGTAGCCATAATGCCCCGTGTGCATTACTGAGAGTGGATACTTTAATAAAAACAAAATTTAAGTAAGTCATTTATCCGATTGTTTGAAAATCCTGTCATTGAATTCAATCATGATTACTCCACTTCAATAAATATGAATTTTATAACAGAATAGTTTTCTGCTTGCGTCTCATTTTGAAAAAATCACGAATACGGCGGTGTATCGAAATTAATAGTCGATAGTGTATTCGCTTTGTTGAATTCTGGTTAGAATAATTACAAGAGTATTTTAGGTTGTGAGTGGTGTTTCTACGCTAATGTTTTTGTTTACAGAACGAAATGCTCAACCTAAAGCAAAATAACGAGCGTCTGCAGAGATTGGTGACGTCGAAATCATTGACATCTTCTCAGTCGTCGCTACCGAGCGACCCAGACAGACGCTTCAGCATGACGGAAGTGGCTTCCACCGTTGCTGCGCTTTCAAACGGTGACGCTGGTTCAGCGGCGGACCAACTCGAGAATTTAAACGTACCAGAGCACACGGTAGTGCCGTCAAACAACTCGAACACTGGGGAGCCAACGTTGGAGCAAGATACGGATGGAAAGAGAATCAACGTGGCTATCTATCTTGGCAGTGAAAAAAACTTTAATTACAATCTCGTAACTGGAAGCACATCCGATGGCAGCCTCGGCGAACCTCCTCACTGCGTCATCGCGAATGTCTGCATCAGCAACAAGACCACGTGGGACTCCCTTGATTCTACCGTAAGACGTTGCTTCAAGGAGTATGTCACGAGAGTGGATCCTGTAACCAACTTGGGCCTCGGAGTCGAATGTGTCGCTGCTTATCACCTTGGTGAAGCTTCTAGGTACATATTGATTATGCTGCTTGGAATTAGTGTGTACGAAAAGAAATTAGAAAAGACTTTTGCAGTATTAATTGTAGTATTACTGTATCTAGTTATAGTAATTACAGTATTTTACTCGTACGGCTTACACCCGAAAGTCTCAATAAGATCTATCATAAAGAACCGGATCGTGAAAGATTCGTCTATGTTACTTTTACAGTATATTTGCCAGGTCATTCCGAACCAAACTGATCGTATTCCCTAGCGTAAACCATAATCATTACCTGTTAATTACGTTACATTTTGTCCAACACTGTATTACTGAAGCAAATATTCTATATCGTTAGTTTCTAACTTCGGTGAACTTTGTCTGTGACATTTCAACATGTTAAATTTTTGGTTGCAGATGTACAACGGATTCTCAGCATCCAGAATTGCTTCCTTGTGGATATCTGATAGGACACGTGAAAACTATTTATTTGGTGCTCTCTGGTTACTCGTGGCTAGCTGTGGATACCTTAATACCACGATCCATCGTGCAACGATTGATATCACTGCTCACCGAGCATCGCAGGGTCATTCTTTGCGGACCCAGTGGTACCGGAAAAAGCTATTTAGCTGGAAAATTGGCACACGCTCTAGTGGACACCGATAACGAAGCGAAGGATGCAGCAGCGGTAGCCACATTCAATGTAGATCACAAATCCAGCAAAGAACTCAGGCAGTATCTCGCACACATCGCCGAAAGATGCGACTCGAACGCAGCCGACGAATTACCAAGGGTAATCATTCTTGAGAACCTGCAACACGCTGCGTCCTTGGGAGAATTGTTCAGTGGTCTCCTTGGTACTAGACACTCGTCTTGCCCAGCTATTATCGGCACGATGAGTCAAGCTACTTGCAGCACAACGAATCTTCAGTTGCATCATAATTTCAGGTACCTTTCATTACTTTGAAAGTGATGATTAGATTGCGAATTTGATGCATTTATGATATAAACTAATATAACGAACACCTGTTAAATATAACCAGAAGGTATGTGCACCTATGCAAAATGAAATAACTAACATTCTAATAATACTAGAATATATTCAACATACGTTATGTATGTATATTTTATGTACGTTTTCTATATTATTGTACGTCATACATGCATAAAATCCACAGTCTAGTGATGGTAATTCGTGCTTGTATTGAAATAAAGGTTTCTTAGCGTACGAAGCGTTTTCAGTTGTATGATTGAAGGCTACTTATTTGGTGTACGATTAATTTTAAATTAGATTCGTATCAAAGTGTATCGTATGTTACAGAAGATTCAATGCATAAAGTTGAAGAGGTGTTATTGAAATGCTCGAATCGACTTATGCACCGAGAAACTTTTTATGTTTCTTTAAGTTTTCAGGTGGCCTGTTTTAAGTGCTAATACTTCCTATTTTTAGGTGGGTGCTGTGTGCTAACCACATGGAGCCAGTTAAAGGGTTCTTAGGCCGTTATCTCAGGCGGAAACTGTTAGAACACGAGCTACGCGATTGTGGTGGGACCAGGAATGCAGAAATGGCAGCGGTTGTCGAGTGGTTACCCCGGATTTGGTTACATCTCAACAAGTTCCTAGAAACTCATAGTAGCTCCGACGTGACCATAGGTAAACCAGTCGAATGTAATGAATATTACACTTTGTCCTTGTTAGATTCGTTAATTTGGATTTCATTGGAAATACTTGATAATAAACATACGGATTTTAGGGCCGCGGCTATTTCTGTCCTGTCCGATGGAGGTAACGGGTTCTCAAGTATGGTTTACCGACTTGTGGAACTACTCGGTAATACCGTATCTAGTAGAAGCAGTCAGAGAAGGATTAACACTTTACGGCAGACGTGTCAGTGGAAATGGAAACGGTGATTCTTCCTGGGAAGATCCAGCTCAGTTTATCATTTCGAGTTATCCATGGATTTCTACACACGCGGTGCACGGTGGCAGCGACGCTCTTCTTCGTTTGCGACCCGAGGACGTTGGCTATGATGTTGTTACATCCGGACACAACTCTGGAGTTGGTGCTTCCAGTGTGAAAAGTCTTGGCAGTACCCACAGCGACACCGAAGGAGATCCACTAGTTAGTGTCACTTGAAATTATAAAGTCTGAACCACAAAGGGTTAAGTCTTTCTTCTTGCACTCGAATAACAATTACTTTCATTATATGTATATAATAGATAGTTGATTTTTATATTTTGTGTTTGAACATTAGATATACGTATTTTATTATTAAAATACACTACTGTAATATAGATATGCCATACGAACAGCTCTACAAACGACATTGAAAGACATTGTCGGACTTTAATATAATTAGTAAAATACACTGGTACAGGATGGTCAATAAGGGTAAAAACATCCTGTACAAGTTAAAAAAAACTTTACGTGTATACAAACAAATTATCGCAACGTGATGATTAATTAGCATTTCCCGTTGTTGCAGCTGAATATGTTAATGAGACTACAGGAAGCAGCTAATTATTCGAGTCCTCACAGCAACGACAGTGACTCGGTGACCTCCCTTGACTCGTCGCACACTCGGCACTCCGAAGATTTGAGTTCATCGACATCGTCGTCCAGGGGTGTGGAATCAGCCCTTTAATTCGACAATTTTGAGAATCGTGCGTCAGGCCAGTTTGTAATATCCATTTGAAGAAGTAATTGATGAGTATTTGAAATGTACAACCGAATTAGATGCGTATGAAAATTTAAGAACGGAAACGTAAATCAAAAATGGACTTTTTTAATATCTTTAGGATACAAGTACAGATTTTCTCCTTTTAACTTTTTACGACGAAAGATATCAAAGAAGTAGTTCGACGATGGAAGCATCGATGAAAACCATTAGGTTCTCAGCAATACGTGATACGATGCTCTTTTATGAAACACGTCCTTTCAACTCGATGGTTTAGCGCCAAAAGTGTTTTGAAGAGATTTCAACTGTTTTCCTTAACCGTTTGAGTCCCAAACAGCGCTAACGCGCTGTTGAGATTTTATGTCGAGAAAACCCAGTACTCATTCAGAGAAAGCGCGGTTGCGCTGTTTGGGATTCTTCGATAGTGTTTTTTCTGGGACTCAAACGGTTAATGTCAAATCGATATATTTACAAATTGAACAAATCAAGGGATCCTTGAGGCATTTAAAATATTTTTATTTTATACAATAGCAATAATACATCTTTATTATTTCAAAATTGTACTTGGAAATTCACATGTAGAAATTTAAGTTTGATTGAAGAAATGAATAATTTCGGTGTTGCTTCGGTAGAAAGGCGAATTACAGTACTATGTTGTATGTTATATTAACCTAATAATTGTATGCCCGCTTTTCGAATTACTGAGTAAAACAGGCTTAAAAATTCTACTTTAGAATTAAATAAGTAACTTGGGCATTATATCAATCATCTTATACAACGTATATGTAAAAGCCTTCTGTACGAATATTGTGTTCCTTGGCATGGACTTACAACGTTTGTGCAGATAGAATAATGAATTATGCAAATACGACAAATTAAAAGATACATTATAACAAATTTATAGAGAAAAAATTCATCAATCTGTTTCGTTAAGCGAAAGCATTTCAAAATTAAACCAATTCCAGTCTTAATTTGAAATGAACAGTTGCATAGTTGTTTCTAACTCTTCTAACGCTAAACCACCGACTTACTCTTACATAAGGCAATGATGTGCATTACAAGTGAAATTAGAGATTAGAAATGTCAAGAAAAAATTTTCAATGCCTACAACTGGCCTATATTTATTCTAGATTTTTACGTGCGTGAAGCACCTTCGGTGTGATATGTAATTAAGTAAGTAAGAGGGACAAGTAAGCGATAACGCTACGTTCTTAATTATATACCGACGTAAATGCGTACGCGACAACCACGCGATGCAATAATCCACGCTGCCGTTACGGAAGTACGACTCTATTTTAAACAAATACAATTTCTATGATCAAATCAAGTACGATCCATGTAAGTGTAGCTTAACCCCTTGCCGTACCATTTAATCCGACAAAATCCAGGCCACATTAGCCGATGCTCGGTAAATTAATCAAAGTAACGTGTAAAAAAAGTATGTGACACGACCCGAAATGGCGGAGGAACATCGTCACAGAGCTGAAAAAAGTAACATTTTCCGACAATCTGTGAAGTAGTTGTACTTTGACTTGCTTCACGCGTTACTATTAGGGTAAATCAAAACTTTTTTCAAATTTTTCTCCCTTCTTTGTATGCTTTTTTTAACGAACGTTTAAATGAAACAAAAGTCTAAGATATTTGAGTTCTCACATCTCACACTTACTGAGTTCTTCTTCAGCATTTTATACCAATATCGGCGTGTCAGTTGAATTCTGAAGAAGTTTACAACCAGAAGCCTCAGTTACTTTCAACCATAATTAAAAGTATTTAAATTTTATGTTTACGTTTCTTAATACACAATATGGAAGAGCAATTTGAGAGGTACAAAATATATGTAACATGAAATTTAAATACTTTTTATTTAGTTGTAACATTCAGTTGTACCTAGAAAGAGGGAAGAAAAATCGGAAAATATTTTTGGTTCACCCTAATACTTTTGTAGAAGTCAAATGCATTTGAATTAAATATCTTTAAATAGTAATTTGATTTCTTTCTCTTCATACATATTTGTATATATATTTATATACATTTATATATATTGTATGTAATATACTTCTTTGGTTAAATGTTATGTCAGGATTTCTTAAGTAAATTCTTTTTAAAAAACTAAATTGCTAACAATGCAGTAATGCTTGTTTTATAACATAGACTATACAATTTCTGACTAACACTTGTGGTACAATGCTAAGATCTGAACCATGATTGTAACAGAATGTTTTCATTAAGCTCTCAACTGCCAAGGTTGTTCAGAGTTTAGCCATTGTCCCTAGTAACTGTTATGTCGAAACTTAAGGATACAAACTCTCATGTTCAGACTGTGGCATTCGTGTTTGACCTGAAAGTATGGCCACAAGTATCACTCGTAATATTCATATTCGTGTAATATCCAGAATTGTGACCACGAGTAAGACATGTCAAAGTACGGCAAAGGGTTAATATGAATCTGCTCGTGTGAAATTTGGATTGAATATACAGTATTATCATAGGGCGTAAAATAAACGGCTTCGAACTGAGCCACGGTTTAGGATCGGGGAAACGCCATTCCTCTCGTCCACTACTTTCAGGTAATAGCTTATCTTACACGATAGACAGATCTCATGGATGAACCGCTCAACAGAGTGTATTGTCTCGCCTTCAGGAATGCAGCGCAGTTCGAAGTGAGCACTGGATATGATGAGTGTGCGTGCGAAAATAGTCTATTTATACATACTTTGCTACGAAAGCTCTATTTAATTAAAGAATGTTAATATAATATATATATATACACATATATATATATACACACAACCTAACGATGACGGCGCTAAATGTATGTTGCGGATAAAGTTTATAATTTAGCTAGTAAGATATGTGAGTAATTCTGGTCATGTAACATTGTAAATACAAAATACGATTGGGACGTACAATGACGCTAGGTGGAGATGTAATTCAAAGTCCCATAAGTAGCCTGCGAGATCATTTCCAGTAATGGCTTCTGTAAAGTGTAAAAAAAAAAAACAATGAGATGACAAGCAGACGAATAATTAAACATTTTATATGTGCAATTCATCGATTCGCGAAGTGTTGGTTTCAACTGCCAAAACAAAGACAGAAGATAATACAAGCTACGCAGACTATACATATTGTACATGTTTAACAAGGCTTTAGGGCCAATTTCAGATTCTGATTGATGACACGATGTCCTGAATACGATGTGCATGTAATGTAACAATTATACAGTCGCATTTACAGGTTTTCTACGTTTGTACCGTATTTATACGCTGTACGACACTGCACTCGATCTTTACTCAAATGACGATAATTATTGTGTCATTAAATAAATCACACTAAACTTCATATGCTTTGTGTATCATTTCATCTATCTTCGTCAACTTTACTTTTTTTTTTTTTTATGTTACTTACATAAAGGTATAACATACATTAGTACAAATGAACGTATATTGGAAAAATAGAAATTAACGATGCATCGAATAAAATGCTCCAAAAATTATTATTTCAAGCTCTTACATCGTGGGATATTTATTATATTTAACACATATAAAGTAGTTCTAAGATTTTGTTTTTGTCCTAAGTATTTCACACGAACGTCGTGTTGCTTTTAAGAAAGAATAGATGAAGAAAATTCTATTCCTACATGAATAAACAAAATACAAAATGAATTAATAGGTGGATGAAGAGTATAAAAAAGAACTTAGAGCTCTAAACAGTATGCATAAGAGGTGTGGGCCTGGGTTTCAGAAGGAAGATTATGCATCATTGAAGAGGTCATGAAGAATTCACTTTATTAAACGACGAAAGGAAACAAAAATGATCGCTGAGCACAGCGACGATCGCAATATTCGTACAAAGTACAGGCGGTGTATATACAGACTCCCTCGCGCTACTGAATTAACCTTAAGAATGGAATTTTTCATTCCTCACGCTCGCATCATCACTTTTTGCGCAAACAAATACAGATTCTCGTTTCTTCGTTCTTTTTTTCTGTGAACCCCAAGGGCTGTTCGAAGGAGCTCTTTGTGAACAAATTAATATCATTCCGCGAATCACTGTCACCAAAAAAATGTAATTATTGAACATCGATTGCAAATAGTTCGGAATCGAAGAAAGATGATTGGCAACCGATTGGCATTTCGAGCGATATTTTGTAGGGATATTAATCGAAGGTCGAATTACTATTCTTGTAGTATACAAATATACATACATTTATTTTATTTCCAGGTAAATTTTCATTGATGTTGAAAAACCTTAATGAAATACGAATGCATTTTTTAAGAATGTTTATGTTACTCCGTACGATTGGATAACTAACATACCAACGAAAGAAATAAAACAAACAGAAAATCTAAGAAAAGTTAAACGTTGACGAATAAAAGAACTGGATGCACTTTTAAGAACAGAAAAATCAACTCTTTGCGTTCTAGACTTTTTGATTTCAATAATGTAAAAAAGTATAAAATTTTAATTTTTGGCACAAATATGTTCCTCAACGACTAAGATTCATAAAAGCTCAAGTACTATTGCAATAAATTACAATACATGTTTGTTAAATTACATTATTTAATAAGACGTAGTTACTGTTAGCACATTCTTTAACGAGATGGTTCCGAATGCAAAGATTTAAGTATAATATTGTTATTTTTATATTAAAAATATTAAAGTGGAAAATTACTAGAGTGAAACGGTCATTTCGGAGATCCTATTGATGTTACATGCTTGAAATTATTTTCCACTTTAATGTGTTACATCTGGAATATTTATGGCAAAAAGATTTCTTAAAATAATCCTCAAAAAATCAGCCTTATGAATTAAAGTACGAAAAAGATGGCAGAAACAGAGAGATCCTTTCGCTGTTCTTGCCTGTATAGAGATTTGCAATTTCCAACATCTTTTTTTTTTTTTAGATACAATCATTCCTAAAAAATACACTTTTACTTCCCAGTTTTTACAAAAGTCAAAACTTTCTGCATCTTTCTCTGACCTAGCAGGTTTATCGTTCGAAGCAATCCTCAGTTTAGTTTACAGTTCGAATAGACGAACTGCAATTTTAAAAAGACTCTCCAATAATGATATTGTAAATTAACCATTTTTCATTAATATTAAACAATCAAAATTATGTAAACTGTTACGAAACATGTGGCGCAGCAATAGATGATTCTTTAAAAAAAAAAAAATAAAAAAAAATAAAAAGTGCACGATCAATTCTTTTTTTGTAGGATCATTCGTTTTCGAGATAATCGATTTCAAAAAGTGTGTGGGGCACGTGCGTGTACAACAAAGCTATTAATTCGTGATCAATCGCGCCTTTATACAGGATTTCCTCGGTGTTTGCACGAGAAATCCATAAAATTACGGATTAGTATTGCTCGATAAAATATAACCCAATACTTCACTTGCTGTATTCATTTAAATTACACTCTATTAAAAATATTGGCAAATCGAAACCGTGTAAACTCTTTCGATCTATAGCCTTCTGATTACTGCGGCAATTTTCTTCTTTTCATTATACTTTCCATTATTATTATTAGAAAAATACTCTTTACTTTTGATTATAAATCCTTATTTCTATATATTTTATAGGGTATAATATACAGGGTGTCCCATATAAAGTGTTACAAACTTTTTTCTCAGAAATTCATTTTTATTATAGTTAAATAACACAGGAGGTTCAATCTTTAAATGTGCAACGTTTTATGATTATTAGGATGAAAAAACAGGGTCCCTGAATCATTTCAGATGGAAGGAGTTTATTTTTTATTATTCGAATAGTTCTTATAAAACTGAATAACATTTGCTTGATTTACTTTTTTTTATAATGCGTAATAACAGATTTATAGCGAAAAATTATAATCGATTCTCCAAATAGAAGCAGCTTGTGGAATTACATAAAAGACGAAGGTATGATAATTGTTTCCACAATTACGGAAAACACGAAATAAATAATTGTGCATTGGTTACTCCATCCATGTTATCAGATGTAAGAGACTTAATAAGTATTTGGAAGTCCGAGGATATCATTTAGAACACATCGTATACCCTGTTTTGATACATATTCTCAGTTTTCTTCGCCTTCTTCGCCATTTTTCACCATAACTCTGGAATTAAACGTAATTTTAAAAAAAACGGTTCAAGCAAATGTTGTTCAATTTTATAAGAATTATTCAATAAGTTTCATTGCACGCTAAAAAATTAGGTCTCCCGTGTCATGGAACTGTGTCAAGTGTAAAGTAGAAATCTTCATTAACTTCAAAGGAAACAGCTTGTACTAGTTTGAACGAAACACCTCGTATTTTTCGAAATCGAATTTCTCGAAAACAATGAGTTTCACAAATAAATTGTATCTTATACTTTCGATATTATAATTTTTTTTTTTTTTTTTTTAACGGAATCATCCTTACCAACCGTTTACGTATTTTAAGACACCATATACAAATTGTATTTATAAATTCTCGACCATCTGTTTGGTGAATTCAATCAAATCATTCGGATTTTGTGAAATAAATTCTTCGAAAGATTGATATTTCAACCCATCACTGCCAACTGCGAGATGTCTCGTAGTTCAAATTGATTGGAGTTGAGTCACGAATTGTTGCGAACGGAAATCGAACATTTTCTTCTTAAAACAACAAGTTTCATGTCATTTTTTATTATCAAAATAATAACCTAGATTATATATCGGTATTAAATCTTGGCGCCCAAAGTAAAACGCTTTAATTTTGCCTGGCAGTGAATACGTCAAAGATGAACTTCACCTTTACGGTATCAAAAAATCAATATTGTTCGCAATTTCCTAAAATTGACACACTCTTCTTTAGAAAGCATCTCGTACTTCAATAAATCTATAATTTTCATAATTTTACTTTCCTAAGGAATTCAATCAAAATCCTAATTGAGAACTGTGATGTAAAAATCGGTCATCCCCGGGAATGAAGATTCAAAAAAAAAAAAAAAAAAACAATGCAATTAGTAAACTATGTTTAGTAGGAAACATTGTAAATTATAAATGGTAAAACGTGAAGATGACCAATCCTTGCACCATGTCTTCAATCACGCGATTAAGAAATTTTAATAGCCTAATACTCTTCCTTTCACCTATTAGGGGGGCCAGAAAGTAATGTCCTTTCTTTTACATAAAATTCAAACAAATACATTTATAATATGCTTTTATTTTTAATCAATTATAGAATCATCCTCGTTATCAACGATGGCCTTTTGTCATATAGTGCGCAAATTTTCAATATCTGATCGATAAAAATTGATTGGTAAACAAAATATTTGCATTCGCAGAAACGACAGTACTTTCTGGTCCCCCTAATAGGCTCACTTTTTCTTCTAAAAATGGCTAGTACCATAACCCAAAGTATGCACTTTTAATATATATATAAAAAAAAAAACACTTGCAAACGGACTTTTCAAATCATTAAAAAAATTTCTCAATTATCAGCATTCGTTTCAACCCCAAAGGTGGTGTTCCTGTGTAACGGAATTCACGCACGAAAGCGATGCATCGAACGCAGTTGCAGGAAGTGGCTCGAAAACAGCCACCTTGAGTTTCACGTTACAATCGTACAAACATTACGCAACGTACAACTACGCTTTCTTGACATACTCGTGAAATGTATCTGTGATTAAAAAATGGGATTGGAAGGGGTTTGTGGGGGAGGGGGGGGGGGGGAGAGAGAGGGTTGTATCTGGAAGGGAGAATATTTACACATACGATACTGGCAGTACATCTTCGTCTTCTTTCGCTTTGCGCTGATGCTGATCCAGCACAGGTCGATCGATACAATTGTTTGTCGTGATCAATGAACTAATAAACGTTTCCTTGTCTCGCTTAATGCCTCGAGGATCGCAGGTATTCCCTATCGTTCACGCTTTGTACAGGATTCTTTCAAAAACGGAATTCGATGTTTTGCTTCTTTGCCATCAAAACCTGGGACGTTCGATTCCAGATCGATTTTAAAAAAAATCGAAACAACAATCTCGAATAACGAATAAATGATGGACAATTTTGCATTCGTAATGGATAAATAAAAATTACAATTTTTAGTTATAAGGTGATATTATATTTCGCGTTAAACAGCCGAAATTTACCTCAAACAATTATTTAACCGAATCACGCTGGAAGGTGTTTCGACAAGGTTCTTAGGACCCCCTCAGATACGCACATGGTAGAACATCTTGGCGGTTTTCGTCGGTAGACTCCCACCGTAATCCCGAGCCTTCGTCAAAAGGTCAAGAAGGTCTCCCCAACGTAAAAAAAAAAAAGGACAACAAAAAATCGAATGAAATTCGAATAAAATTTTGGCCATCTCTGGTTCATGGTTCGCGCGTGAAAT